TGAGGTTCCCAGCTTCTAGGAGCTGCCGGGTGGGTAGATGGCAGTGTCTGTGCTCCCTGAGAGCTCTCAGACGCCGGGCAGTTCCTTGGTTCTAAGAGGCTCAGCATGGCCTCTCTGCCTGTGGGAGGGTGGGCAGCCACTCCCAGGTTCCCCCCCGGGCAACTGGAGAGGCTCAGGTGGGAGGCTGTACAGCAACCAGAAGAGAGAGGGGAAGACCAGCTTCTGTGGCTACCACCAGGCACTGACCCCAGGGGAGCCAAAGCCAGGATGCTAGGGGCTTCTTAGACAATTCTTTCAAATTGCTACTGGAGGGATTGGCATGATGGCCAAGTGGGATAACCCCAGATGGATGCCAATTCAAATTCCAGCTACTCCACTTTCAAACCAGCAACCTGCTAATGGCCCAAGTTGCAAAGGATAGTCCAAGGCTTTGTGTCCTTGCACCCAGGTGGGAGACCTGGATGAAGCTCCTAGTTCCCAGCCTTGAATCAGCCCGCCTCTGGCTATTACAACCATTTAGGGAATGAACCAGTGGATAGAAGATCTCTCTCTGTGTCTCCTTTTTTCCCCTGTAACTCTGTCACTCAAATACATAAGCCTTTTTTATTTTATTGGAAAGTCAGATACATAGAGAAGAGGAGAGACATAAGAGAAAGATCTTCTGCCCATTGATTCATTCCCCAAGCTGCCACAACAGCTGTTGCTGAGCTGATTTGAAGCCAGGGGCCAGGAGCTCTTCTGGGTCTCCCACACACGAGCAGGGTCCCAAGGCTTTGGGCCATCCTCAACTACTTCCCCAGGCTACAAGCAGGGGGTTGGATAGGAAGTGGGGCCACCAAGATTAAAACCAGAGCCCATATGGGATCCCAACACGTCCAAGGTGAGGACTTTAGCTGCTAGGCTTGCTGCGCCAGGCCCCAAATACATGAATCTTAAAATTTTAAGATATGTTGCAGTATGCATTTCTATTCCCAAATTAAATAAATCAATCTCAAAAATAAATAAAACTGCTAATGGCAGAGGCCTTTGGTCTAGCACTTAAAATCCTGGTTGGGATGCCTGAGAGTTGGAACTGAGAGTGTTGGGGTCCATGGCTGAACTCTGGCTCCTGACTTTGGCTTCCTTCCAGTGCCAATCTTGAAAGGCATCATCGATGATAGCTTAAGGGGCTGGGTTCCTGCCACTCATGTGGGAGACCCAGAATGACTTCCCAGCTTCCTGCTTCAGCCAGGCAAGTGGACCAGCAGATGGGAACACACCCAGTCTTCTGTGGAATAAATAAAAACACTTTGAGCTATGGAACCTCTAAATACTAATTCATAAGACAAACCTGGAATTAATTTTAAAGTTCAAAACAATGGGGGAGGTGAAGGGGCAAAATACTATTCACATCCACAAACTCAGGGAGGGGTGGGTGATGTCTGTGCTAGGTGGGCAAACTCCAGCTTGGAATGAACATCAAATAAACACGTCTCTGTATTCAGGAAGAGGAAGTGGTTAGCCAACATCAGCCACCTGCCGCATGGCTGGGAAGGAGTTCCAGTGGTCAGGAGTCTCAGGATGGGGTGGAAGTGGCTCCTATCTCCACAAACCAAGGCAAACCAGAGAGACAAAGGTGGTGTGCCGTGTAGGGTCCCAATGCCGAAAAGATTATAGGATGTTGCCTACTGCATACGGCAGATGCGGCACTGATGGGAGCTTAAGTGTGATGAGAACCAAGAGCCCTCATTCTGATATTTTACCCTCTTTATGTTCAACTCAAGCTCTACAGGCAAAAGGAAATAACTTAGCAATGTAACTACATGACACAGGTGTCCTTGAGGCTCTGTCCCCATGTTTAGCAGGCTGCCTGGCTGCCAGGGGGGACATACAAAGCCCACGGGTTCACAGGAGTAACCTTTAAGCTAGACATTACTGCTTTTCAGGGGGAAAAAAAATAATGTGTGGATGGAGTGCTCGAGCCTTGACACAGAAAACACCTGTCAAAGTTGTATAAACTTCCTTTCCCTGTCAACACTGAAAAGACCCTGACAGTCATGCCCTCCCCAAGGGACAGATCAGAAGAACCCTTCTTCAGGGCAGCATATTTAACCAAAGAATATAGCCACAAGTGCAAATCACAGGATGTGTTCTTCAGGTAATGCCTGATAGATTCACATTTCCCTCTGCTTAGCACGTTACATTCTCCAAAACAGATAATAACTCACACAGAAGACCAAACAGGACACTTTCTCTACAACCTCTTATAGTTGGTCCTACCTTCTGACATAAATTCCAAGAACAGGACAGAATTGCCACATTATTCCGATAGCAAATAACTAAGAGGAGCAAAGATGGGCTCCTTTTGTTGACAAGTGGCCTACGTGTAAATTCTCATTGACTGCCATTCCCAGGACCCTAGGGCTCCTACACAGGCGAGCCCCAGATGCCTTCTAACAGTTCTACATTTTCCCGCTTCACCTCAAGAGGGCCATGGGCTTGCATTTGAAACTGTACGTACTAAGCGCCTTGAAACTCATGATTCTGCCTTCGGTTCACCACAGTGAAGAGCCAGAATACTTTCAGAACTTTATTATTAGTGACATGTCCAGCGGCACAAACAGGAAGAGAGCTAGCTACCCTTCCTGGAAGAGGCTTTCCAATCTTCCTCATAAAGCCAAACCCTGGCCTACTCCTAGCGTGGTGTCTCCAAAAAAGCTTAGGCGGCATGCGAAGAACCTGTCAATCACGGTGGCATCTTCCGCCATCAAAACTAGGTGCTAGGGGTGGTGGAGGTGGGGAAACCATCCTCTTCAGAGGGTTTCCTGGAGCTGTGCCCATGTGTGTGCCTGGGCACCCAGCCTTATCGGCACCCAAACAGCCAGCAGGGAGACACCCCGACAGTTGGCACCCCAAGGTATGGCTATCTTCTCTTCTGCAGACATGCCCACAGGTCAGAGGACTTGATGAATGTGAAACGTGAGGCTGATGGGTTATCTCACCATGGTCCTCCACTGCCACAGGCCCCACGTCTCCTCCTCCCCAACTCCCAACATGAGGCTGCAGAGGCAGGCTCACCCAGCTAGTGCATCGTCTTGAGGAATAAGGGGAAGAAGAAACAAATAAAGAAACCACCAGAGTGCACTCAGAAAATCGCTACAGCTGGGGTCCTTGACTTGGGAGATGTGTGTTTTCTGTAATTAAGAGTTTCTGACGCGGTGATAGTGTATACATAAAATTTCAAAGTATAAAAGTACACACCATATGCTTCCTTAATCTGTATTGTGAAAAACGTGAAATCTATTCATTTTATATAAGCACATTTTTTTTAAGTTCAAACAAAATAGACTTGGGGCCATGCATGCTACAGGCTGTTTAGGGGAGCAATTCATTCTAAGGCAAGAGGGAGATTCCTAACTCAAACCTGGGTTACATGAACTCAAACCCAGGCTCTCTGACACGGGACGTGGGTACTGCAACCACTGTGCTAAAGGCCCGCCTCATCCTTATCACCTTCAGATGCTGGCATCCCACACGGGGGCCAACTCGTGTTCCTGTGGCTTCACCTTCCATCCAGCTCCCTGCTTGTGGCCTGGGAAAGCAGTGGAGGCTGGCTCAAGTCCTCGGGCCCCCGTACCCTTGCGAGAGACCCTGAAGAGGCTCTTGGCTCCTGGCTTTGGACAAGCCCAGATTCAGTCTTTTTGGGGAATGTATTTGGGGAATGAACCAGTGGGTAGATCTCTTTCTCTGCAAATCTTTCAAATAAAAAATAATAAATCTTTAAAAAAATTACTTAGTTGAAAGTGAGAATGTCAGAGAGAGAGGGAGACACACAGGAAAAGAGATCTTCCACCCACTGGTTCACTCCTCAAGCAGCCATAATACCCGGAGATGGGCCTGGCTGAGTCCAGGAGTTTCATCCTAGTTGCCTATGTGGGTAGCATGAGCCCAATCACTTGGACCACAGTCAGTTGCTTTCCCAGGTGCATTACAGGGAGTTACATTGGAAACAGAGCATCCAGGACTCAAATCAGTACTCTTGAGATGGGATTCTGGTGTCACGGGTGGTGGCTTAACTTGCAGTGCTACAACACTAGCCCCTAAAACCTCAACTCTTGATTCCAATCAAATGTATCTCTTACCCCATTACAGTTCCTTTCTGGTTCCAAAAGCACAAACGAATGCCACAATTTAAAAAAAAAAAAAAGCTCATTTTTTACAGCCTACAGTCAATCGGTGTTTGAAATCTGATGTTGTTTACAGGGAACAAAGAGAGGAAGCTCATGAGTAAAATGCTCCCTCCTACAAACTGGCGATTTCAACTAAATCCCTTGGCTTTTTCAGATCCTGAACCCTAGCTAACTGTTCTTAGGACTATGGTGAGAATAACCCAACAGATCTTTCTTCTGGTTGAAACGTTCATGTTTGAGAGAATCCTGAAACATCACATTCTACATAAATACCTGGGAAAAGCCAAGGAGGGAAAATTCAAGAACAACAGTGGCAGTGTTAGATCTAAGCATCTTTCTAAGAAGGACCTTTGACGTCTTTGACCTTGAAAGATGACTCAAGCCTGCCACCTGCTTCCTCTCCTTACCTTCTGTTCCCAGTCACCCAGCTGTCCATCCGTCCATCCATCCACCCACCCAGCCAGCCATTGGAAGGATGTGTCCTAGGTCAGCTAAGACAGACACAAAGAACAAGATGTCTGTGCGGTGTGCATTTTGAAGTTTCCGAGCTCAGCGAACCTGGGGAGTTGTCCCTATATGGGGTGCTGTGGGGCCAGCCAGCTGGCCAGCCCTATTTGGTTGTCAGGTAAAACACTGAGAAGCCCTGGCTGGGAGCCTGTGTTACTGCTCACGACTGTTCCATAACTCTACAAGCAGAATAAAACGCAAAAGCACCCAGAAGACAGGATTCCCCACTGCCCCAAGCTGGGCACACCCCTCCCTATGTCACCCTCCACCCGCCCACCCCACCCACAGCTGTGTCATTTCTATACCAAAGCATTGGGCACTAACCTGCTTTGCCCACTTCCCCTTTCCTCAGTGGTCCTTCAGCCTGGCACCCAGCTCTGAGATGAGGCCTGCTTAGCACCAGTGAAGCTCCCCACGTTCAAACCAACCCCGTTCTGCGTGGAGATGAGGGAATCAAAGTTAAAATCCAACCCGTCCGCATCCATGAGTTCACTGCGGATGATGGATTCCATGTCACATTCCAAGCTCCCATTGAACATGTCCAGGTCCAGGTCGCTGGGGAACTTCTCGTGGCCCATGACGGGCAGGGTGGTGCACGCTGAGTACGGGGAGGAGCCTGAGAGAGAGTCCGAGAGGGTTTGCATAGACTGGCTGGCGGGAGACTGGTGCTGGTGTTTGGCTGACCCGAGGCTGCCGGAGTCACTCAAGCCCATGCTACTGATGGGATTCGACAAGGCACGGCTGCCACCGAGAGCCCCCTGGCTTTGGTGCTGGTGGTGGAGCAAGTTCTGATTGGCCAAACTCCCCTGGCTAGGCTGGGCAGCGAAGGACATCATCGGATCATTGCGCAGCATCACGTTCCGGCGGGAATTCTGAGCGGACACAGCGGTGCTGGCCTGGGACATCAAGGGGTCTGACTGGGTCATCATGACATCGCTGTGGCTCAGCGAGTCTGAAGTGAGTAGATCTTGGAGTGTCTGGTTGCTGTAGTGCGACACAGAAGAGAAGGTGGCGGGCTTGTTCTCTTGGATGGTCTGCATGGGCGACTGGCGCAGGGAGTTAAGAGAGGAAGGCCCGAACACCGTGCCGTTGAAGGAGCTGGTCGGAGAGCCCAGGCTGGAGCTCTTGGTGGTGTATGGGAAGCTGGAGCTCCGTTGCATGTGCGTCCCAGGGGGCGACGCCTGGGAGGCTGGGAGAGTGATATTATCCAACAAGTCGTCCATGAGGTTGTCGGCCAGCCCATCGTTCAGGTTCATGTCAGTGAGCCGCGGCAGCTCCACGGTGCACGGCTTGCTCACTGAGGGTGACAGGCTGGCCGAGCTGCTGTACAGCATGGGGGAGAGCGGTGCGTCGTCATCCTGGACATCGTCCAGCTCTGTGCTAGCCAGGATGGGCGACAGGCGGCCGCTGACCGTGCTGGCGTTGGAATTGGTGCGTGAGCGGAAGTCCGTCCAGGCATCCAGCTCGTCGCTGCTGCGTGACGTGGGGCTGCCAGGCCACTTGGGCAGCTGGGAGGAGCTGTCATCAGCTGCCTCGGGTGCTGCCTGCAGAGCCGCCTTCTTCTTGGCGGCACGGCCTCGGCTCTTGGTATACTTGTTGCTGTTGTCCATGGAGACTGCCCGCCGTCGGGGTGCCTTCCCGCTTTTGCCCCCGTCCGGGTTGATGATCCACCACGAGCTCTTGCCAGTGCCCTCATTCTGTACCCGCATGAACCGGCTGTGCAGCGACAGATTGTGTCGGATGGAGTTCTGCATAGGGTGGGGAAGGAAGGAAAATGCAGAATATGAGCCCAGAACGGTCCAAAACTGAATACCTGGAAGAAACAGGTAAAGCGGACTCCCCAAGCAGACTCCTTGTTTGTGAGACCAACCTCAGAGGCTAAAGGCTTAAAAAAACAACTTAACTGAAACTGCAAAAACACCTGCATCACTTTCCTTGGTTTGGAATAAAATAGCAGGTTAAATGGAAGGCTTCCTAAGGCTGGCAGCAAGGCGTAATAGGCTAAGCTCCCACCTACAGTGCTGAGACATCCCACAGGGGTGCTGGTTTGTATCCTAGCTGCTCCACTTCCAATTCAGCTCCCTGCTGATGTGCCTGGGAAAGCAGTGAAAGATGACCCAAGTGCTTGGGTCCCCGCATCCAGGTAGGATACCCAGAAGAAGCTCCTGGCTTCGAGCCAGACCAGCTCCGGGTATTATAGCCATTTAAGGAGTGAACTAGTAGATGGAAGATCTCTCTTTCTCTCTATAGCCCTTTTGAAACAAACAAACAAACCTAAAGGCTTCATATGCAAGAGGAGGGGAGATGGTTTTAGCGACACAAGATGCTGGCAACATTTCAGCTCTGACACCGTTTGCCCACCTCTGGGCTTCCATGGTACTTTCTGCGCTTCCCAGCCTGAGGTTCACACCTGCAGTTTATTAGCACATCACCTCCTCCCTTCACTTTGCAAACATCCCCCCTGGCTCTCTAAGGTAATCTGTATCCTGGATGACTTTTTAGTTCTCTGATGCTCCCTGCCTTTGTGAAGACAAGGATGGCGGCCACCTTTCCTGAACCACTTCCAGGGGTTGAGAACAGGCATGAGTTTTACCCACCCTTTCTGTGGCTCCCTTTCCTCCTGCCAGCATTACACGCCTTAGTACGAGACACCCCGCAGACATAAGCCAAGAGTGACAGGGCTGGATTCACTGGGTTGATAAAGAGCAGACAAGTCTGCCACAGAGACTTATGCTCCCACTGCAAAGCACCATGAGCTAAACAGAGCAGCTTCCTCCCAGGGAACAGGGACCTGGGTAACTTCACAGGGGAGAGGCGTGACCAGCTGAGGCTGCCTCAGCCAGGCTGTCAGCGTCAGCACCTGCAGCAGCCAGCCTTGTGGATGGGCTGCACATACCGGTGTCATGACATGGTGAAAACTATACCCGACCTCTGTGGTCCTGCTTCCAACACCCACGGGCCCCCTTCTAATCATGAGGAAACCTTCAATGAAACAATGGTGGCAATTACTGATGTGGTATACAGATGAGTTCCCGGCCAGGGGGGAGATGAGGGTGGAGGATGGGCACCAAAAGAATCTTTAAGTTGCAAGTCCAGGAAATCTAACAAAGCCTGAATTTGACTGGCTTGTCCCTGGAGACAAATGTACCCCACTGTGAGAGGTTAACAACAGGGGGACATGGGAACTCCATAGCAGCTTTGCTACTCTGCTGTAAACCTAAAACCCTTCTAAAATAAAAGGTTTATTATTGGGGGCGGAGGAGAACAAATAGGGCAGAACACCCTCATAACGCTAACGACTGCACCTGTAAGCGTCCTCCTTCTGACATGGTGGGACACACCCATTGGGGAGGGATGACCCAGATTCAGCCCCGTCGCTGGCACTGACCAACCATGTGACCCTGCACAAATCGCTTATCTGTCTGCCACAGCTGCAGTGCCCGTCTTCATTCTGGCCGTAATCATCTCCCAGCCGCCCCTCCCCGCCGGGGATGATGTAAGGGCGATGGAAGATAATACACTTCTGGAGCCAGTCACGCTAGAAAGCCAGAGGGTTTCTACTTAGCTCTCATAAAGCACGGAGGCCGTGGTGGAAAGAACCCGCGGCCTGGGATGGGCAGCTCTAATGCCTCAAGTGCCTCATACGGCAGTGCAAAAAGAGGAGAGCTGATGCTGTTCTCCACATCTGGAACAGCACCTGCAGGCCAGATGAGGTTTTATTTATTGATTAAACATGAGCCATCCCAAGAGCTACCACACTTAAAAAATTGGCAATCACCAACTGTATTTATGTAGAAGATACAAAAACATGTGTTCTGCCAGAATGTTTTTAAAATACAGAAAGCCAGCAGGATTTTACCATTAGTAAATAACCCGAAATACTCCCAGAGTGTTACCATGCAAGAGCAGAATGCAGCCCACAATGGTGGGTAACATGCATTAGTACATGCGGGTCACAAGTCAAACTCTACAACTGCCATGAAGACACGTTTGAGGCAAGAACAGCGGCAACATGTTGAGTATCTGATGAAACAAACATCACTCAGGAGACTATATATTCCACTTCCCTTCTACTTTTATGGCATTTAAAAAGAATAATGACATCTCTACTAATGGTCCAAAAATCACAACTGGGTTGTTTTTTTTTTTAAGTAGCGGTGGGCGGCACTTGGCTTGGTGATTAACACTGGTGGAGATTCCCTGAATTGCTATATCAGAGCACCTGGGTTCAAATCCAGGCTCTGCTCCCAATTCTAATTTCCTTCTAATGCACACCTTGCAGGGGGCAGGGGGGAAGCAGGTGACAACTCAAATACTTTGGTCCTGGCCATCAGTGAGAGAGATCTGGATTGAGTTCCTGGCTCCTGGCTTCAGCCTGGCCTAACACCAGCCACCAGGGGCATTAGGGGAATGAAACCAGCAGGTGGACACTTTGCCTGGCGCTTGCTGCCTCTTGGATAAATAACTAATTAGAAAAATACTTTTTCCATGGAGTAGACATGAAGCATGCTCTTATCACACACTCTACAGCATCCAGCAAGCAAGCATCAGGTAGTTCTATCAAGATGATCTGAGATGTTGAGCAAAAACTTAAGCTTCTGGGTGAAAAAGCAAGCAGGTCTTTTTGCCATGTGGGGCAATAAGAAGTCCTCTCTTATCTTCCCATTCTGGGAAGGGTCCATATCAACATCCAGAATGGACAAGAAAGACCAGGTATAAACAATCAATTATATTTAGCCATATGTTCCTCTAAAAAGCATTTAGGGAATGCTATTTTTCTAGGAGTATGAATTCCAAACCAACTGAGAGAGAGAGAGGGAGAGAGAGAAATATTCTACATAAGGTTAAAATGACTCATGTGAATTTTCTGAGGTATTCCTAACTACAACAATGTATATGTATAATTTTGTACAACTGGCTAAAATCTGGAGACTGACTTTCAGAAACACTAACATTTCAAGGGCGTGTGGTCCAAGGCTGGGAAGGACACAAGGACTGCCCAAGCACCCAGTTCCCTAACTGCCAGTATGAGGCAGTGGGGGCCTCGCTGACAGCAGCATCTGCAGGGACAGTCCTCACAACACACCTTCAGTGCGTGTAGCAGCACCTGCACCTTACACACGAAGGCTCAGACTCAGGTGAACTACCTGAACAACAGGGTCCCTTAGCAGGCATCAACACAAACCCAAGTTGAAACTCTTTCCCAACTCTGCTAGGTGCTTTATCCATAGCCTCTCCAAGGGTCACTACCGAATTATTTGGAAGTCACCATTCATCTTGCTTGGCTTCCTTTAGTTAGGGCAACCCTCACAGCAGAGGATTAGGTATTGGAAAGAAGCTGCCTGAAGTATATAAAAACAAAAGGACTCCATGGAAAATTAACTAAGTGAGTAACGCACACAGGCAACTTAAGATGGTCAATGAAGGAGGCAATGTGGAGGCTTCCATGGCAGTCTGGCTCTAACACTTGCCTGCAACCCTGAGTAGGTCACCTCACCTCGGTCTCACTGTTCATCAAATGGGTCCCAAAACACTATATCTAGGTTCTCCAGGAAGATGAAGTGTGAAGCTCTGTGTGCAGCCCCGGAGTGCCATGCATAAAGGGCTGCCTGCCACAGCTGTTAGCAAGTGGCAGTGGTAGCATCACCATCATCCACTCATTGTCTTCCAGGTTCATGCACTTGAAGCCAGAAGGTGTGAGGGACACTTCCTTATGGGGAAGGATTGTTTTCAAAGGCTCTGGCATGTGCTTTGCCAGTGAAGAGTGGTGGGTCCCTTCTCAACCATCATGACCCTCCTCTGTGTACCTCGGTCCCTTCTCCCTCACTGTTTGCCTTGTGGAGACCATCCATTAACCCATACACCAGCTACAAGTGCCTCCCTGGGAACACGGGGAGGTTCCGTCTGGAAACAACATGTGGTATCAATTTATCTTTCTCAGCAACAAGCAATCTACTCACTTTAAAATTTTTTTAAAAATTGTGCAATTTCACTCTTAAAAGCCCCCCCCCCCCCCGCTTTTAAAGGAAAAAAACAAAGGCAACAATTTCTCTTCTCACTCTTTTGTTTTCTTCCCCAAGCAGCAGCTGAAGGAGCCATAACTGGCAGTTCAGGAGGCAGCCCACCACTGCCTACTGGGCTCTCTCCAGCACCTCTGGGGGACTTCAGAAAGATGCGCCACACAGATCTTCTTTCACACAACAGTGCTTGTCCACCTGGGGTCCTGGACCAGGCAGAGTTCCAAGTGTGTCTCACTGCTGGACTTGTGGGTGCTGGCAACTCAGAGGCAGGCAGTTGAATGTCTGAATTCTTACACAGGCACCAGAGGTCATGTGACCAGCCCAGTGGAAATCACTGGAGTCTGTGGGATACAGCAGAGGGGTATAGAGAAATGGTTTCTTGGCAGGTCCTGGGCAGAGGCCTCCACCACAAAGCTGGAGTTTGATCTCACTTCAATAGTTCTTCACCCAGCTGCCCATCACGATCACCCGTGGAGACTTTATACTCACCCTACTACTCCCAAGCTCGCAATTCAACTGGTGGAAGGCCTGAGTACAGGCACTTTTGTTGTCAGGCTCCCCGGATTATCCTAGTTTGTAAAGAGGGCCCAGAACCACGTGGGGTTCCACGCACAGAGAATGATTTCCAGTCTTCCCAATTCTAGTGGCACGTCACAGTCAATGTTTCCTCTTTCCAATCCAAGTTTCCACCACGTGGAAGCCAAGGGTGGGAACTGGGCTCACGGATG